GGTCATTGATCTTGATTTTGATACTGTGAAATCATTTTTTGATCCAGTAATCAACAAAATTTTGAAGTTGATTGAGAAACAGTTATCAAAATGTTCAGACTGTTCAGTGATGTTTTTGGTTGGAGGATTTAGTGAATCAAAATATCTTCAATCTAGAATTAAACAAAAATTTGAAGATAAATTGAAAATAGCAAGTATGTTGGTTGGCTGACCCTTTTTTTTAAAGAAAAAAGAAAAATTAAAGCAATCAGTTAATAAATATTTTGTTTATTATAGTTCCACCCAATCCAATTACTGCAATAGTAAAGGGTGCATGTGAATATGGACTTGATAGGAAGATTATAAGCACAAGAGTATTATTATGGTCATATGGAGTTGAAATTAGTGATGAATGGGTAAGCATCACCAACCAAAACTAAGCAGTAATATATTATCAATATTATATTATCCAAATAACAAAACTAACTTTTTTAACATTAGCAAACTGGTGATCCACTATCTCGTAAAACAATAAATGGCCGAATCTACAAGTTTAGTTTGATGGCCAGGAAAGGAACAGAGGTGAATGTTAACAAAGAATTTTCCAGTTATTTGGGCCCTATTAACCCCAATCAAACCAGTGGAACACTTCACTTTTTTTATACCACCAAATATGATGCAACATATTGTGATGAACCTGAGGTGAAAGAATTGGGTAGTTTTGATGTTGATATGCCTGACACTCATTTGGGGCTCAATCGTTCTGTACAAGTAACATTACATTTTGGATCTATGGAAATTGTTGCAACAGCAAAGAATAGAACTACTGGTAAAGTTTATCGCACTACATTTAAAAAAAATATTAGACAATTATATCATTCCATGTCTGAAACATAATGTTATATTTGGTGATAAAAATAATTAATATTGCTGTATTAAAATTTGCATGTGTAGTCTTATTATCTTTGTATTTAAAATAAATATATAAATAATTGTTAGCAGTTGATTCAGTTGCTATTACTATCTATTGATCATATTTTACCTGTTTTGTTAGTCTTATAAAAAAAAAGAAAATCTGATTAGTGTTATTTGTTATATGGAAATTCAAGGGTAAAAAAATAATACCAGGAATTTACTTTAATCATTTCAGCTACTGATAATAATCTCCACATTAAGAAAGCAGCAGAAATATCAAATTTAAGGTATCAAAGGCAGAAGGTTTAATATTTTAAACAAAGTTATTGCACTTACAGCTGAAAACAAACCAGTGATAATAGTGTGTAGAAGGGAATTTGCATACATAATTTATCATTGATGGTTAAATGCTGGTGCCAAGCGAGTATTGGAATTAATAGGTGAGTTGGTTGATTATGCATGCAAGAGGGTTGATGATTAGAATTCAACAAAATTCAATGATAAATTGAAATTATTGTGTCAATTTAACTATCTTAGATATTGACACTAGATGGGATTCAATTACTATGTTCTACATGTTGAGAACTTGAACTATTCTATTGTTGCTGACTGCCCTAGTGAAAATGTTTTTAAAACAATGAATTCTCTAAAATATGCTTAAAATATATGTACCTTTCATCTCTAGTTTTTTTTTTGCACATTTAGATCACATGACTAAAAACAGCGGCATAAATAATTTTGTTTATCGTATTTCTCTTTGAATTTAAAATGATATATACCCCAGAAGGCAATACAATTATTTATGATACAAATCAACGATTCACACAAACATTGCAAGCACTCTTAAATCAACGACAAGATTTCCTTCAAGAACTGCAACAACACTCAAACCAATGGCGTCAACTCACAAATAATTTTTTACAACATCTGAAACAACTCACACAACAACCCACAGAATATCAACTACTTTTCGCACAATATAAACAGCATTTCTTACAGTATCATCAACAACCTACAGAGCAACATCTCCTAATTCTCTCAGACATTCAGCAACAACTCCTACAAATTCAGCAACTATTTATACTACAACAATTATTACAACAATTTGTGGTCACAAAACCAACAGAATATCTTGATGTTGGAGAGTATTATATAATTAATAAAAATGCTTTCGATATTTTAAAAAAACACACGGAAAATAAAGGTAGTAATAATGAATTGGAATTGGAAAGAAAAAAGTTTGAATTGGAAAGTAAAAATAATGAATTGGAAAGTAAAATCAATGAATTGGAAAATAAAATTAATGTATTGGAAAATAAAATTAATGAATTAGAGAAAAACCAAAATACAAAACCACAAAATAAAATTTTCGAAAACAATTACCAAATTCTTCAAAGAAATTATCAAAATCTTCAAACAAAGTGTCAAAATTTTGAAGGAAACTATCAAGAAAGAAAAAAATTTGAATTGAAAAGTAAAAATAATGAATTGGAAAGTAAAAATAATGGATTGATAAAGCTTCAAAGAGATTATCAAAATCTTCAAAGAGATTATCAAAATCTTCAAACAACTTGTCAAAATTCTCAAACAAAGTGTCAAGAATTAGTGGCATTATTAAGTTCAAAGGATGTTTATATTAATGGTTTGCTAAAAAATAATAATGACTTAAAAAAAGAAGCTATTAAAATATAATTTATTCAATTACATTGTCAATAAATTAATAAATCGACAAACGATGTTAGTGTTACTAGGAGACCATGAACATTTTGATTATAATAAAGCTATGCAAATATGGTTTCAATCAAAAAGATAGTGTGTGATTGCGTCAAAGTCGCAAATAATAATTATGCTTACTCTCGCTATAATTCGTATAGCCAAAACGATATTTTGCTAAACGATAAGCCATTGAAAGATTGGAAGCTTGCAGTTCATCAATACCAAGTTTCAATCCAAAAATTAATCACGTGATTAATCAAGGATGGGACCTTGGCCTATTGTATACATGACTGGAATTAGCAATTAATGCCAGTTCATTGGCCAAAATTCTCTAATTCCGCATTAATCTATTTTTATATATTTCATATAGAATTATAATTTATTTATATATTTCATATAGAATTATAATTTATTTATAGAAATTAACGCAGATTTTGCATTTAGAGCAATTTCATACTTGAAAAGTTATTTCAGGTTTAAATCACTGAATCGCAATCACAAGAAGTTGGGGCTGGTCTAGAGATGTGCCACGCACAGCGTGTGACGCACAGTGCGTGAGAATTTTTGAGTGCGCAGTGCGCGCATAGTTCTCATGTTGTACTAGATAGCATGCATCTACAAGTTTTTCCGTATTAATACATTTGCAAAAGGTTTACAATAATTGCCAATTCAGACAAATTGTTAGGACGAAGTATTTTTAGTTAAGTTTTTGTAGACATTAATTAATAAATATTTCTAGTTAAAGAATATATATAAATATGCTATTTGATTTTTTCAAAGGCCAACATTATTGCGCATTCATGACAATTCTCTGTGTACTATTACTATTACTATCTCTTAAACTGACAAAGTATTGTTTAATGATAACGCGAAATGATTTTTTGATCACGATCTTGCATTCTTATTGGCCAATTTAACGATCTGCAAAGTAAAATAGTCAATCGACCAACTTTTAAAGGAAGATTTTACGAAAACCACAAAGTGATACCTTCAGAAAAAATTTTTTATAACAGAAAAAAATTTATGCTATCAATAGCCGAAAAACTGTTTAAGGGATAATAGTAATACACTATATGCATTATGTGCACTATGCGCACTGTGTGCGAAAAAAATCAGGGTTACTATGAATGGCACATCTCTAGGCTGGTCATGTTGTATGTGAGAAAATATGTGCGGATTTTTTAATGTTACACATATATATCGAAACATTATTATTTGGAAATTTAGATAAGCTTTAAAATGTAAAGGCTCAATAACCGAGCAAACTGTGTGTATAATATTTCCGTAATTGTATTTCTAAACACTCAACTAATAGCCTGTCAAAGAGTTTTTTTATTTATATTAGTAAAAAATTTTTTCAAAGTTATCAATTTTATTGATTTATTACAAGCAATGGAAATTAGATAAACTATAAAACGTAAAGGTTCAATGACCAGGCAAACTGTGTGAATAATCTTTCCGCAATTTTATTTATAAACGCTCAATTAATAGAGTTTTTTTTCATTTTATTGATTTTTACAGTGCGTAACATGGGGCATACTGCAACAAAACCAAACAAAGTGAGCATTGGTATTACAAAGGATTTCAGGGATCAATAGTGTTTGTTTAATATCACAATTGTATTACAATGTAATGTGATCATGATATTTGTCTAGACAAAAATA